ATCAAAAGACAAGAGGGTGAGATTCTCTATATACATGACGTTATGTCAGGGTCACAACAATATACGACGCCATGTCAGGGTCATAGCAGTATACATGACGTAATGTTAAATTTATATTGTATCTACTACCTAAGTGTTGAATTTAAATTGTATCTACTACCTAAGTGTGAAATTCAAATTGTAACGTCTACCTTAGTGTTAAATTCAAATTGTATGTACAACCTAAGTATTCAGTTCAAATTGTATCCACTACGTAAGTGTTCCATTCAAATTGTATTTACTACCAAAGTATTCAGTTCAAATTGTATCTACTACCTAACTGTTAAATTCGAAATGTATCTACTACCTAAGTGTTAAATTCAAATTGTATCTACTACCTAAGTGTTGAATTTAAATTGTATCTACTACCTAAGTGTGAAATTCAAATTGTAACGTCTACCTTAGTGTTAAATTCAAATTGTATGTACAACCTAAGTATTCAGTTAAAATTGTATCCACTACCTAAGTGTTCAATTCAAATTGTATTTACTACCTAAGTATTCAGTTCAAATTGTATCTACTACCTCAGTGTTAAATTCAAATTGTATCTACTACCTAAGTGTTAAATTCAAAATGTATCTCCTACCTAAGTGTTAAATTCAAATTGTATCTACTACCTAAGTGTTCAGTTCAAATTGTATCTACTACCTAAGTGTTAAATTCAAATGTATCTTCTCCCTAAGCGTTAAATTCAAATTGTATCTACTTACTAAGTGTTAAATTCAAATTGTATCTACTACCAAAGTGTTAAATTTAAATTGTATTTACTATGTAAGTGTTGAATTTAAATTGTATTTTTTACCTTAGTGTTACATTCAAATTGTAACTTCTACCTAAGTGTTAAATTTAAATTGTATCCACTACGTAAGTGTTGAATTTAAATTGTATCTATTACCTTAGTGTTACATTCGAATTGTATCTACTACCTAAGTGTGAAATTCAAATTGTAACTTCTACTTAAGTGTTTAATTGAAATTATTTCTAGAACCAAAGTGCTAAATTGAAATTGTATCTACCACCTAATTGTTAAATTCAAATTGTGTCTACTCCCTAATTGTTAAATTCAAATTGTATCTTCTACCTAAGTGTTCAGTTCAAATTGTATCTACTATCTAAGTGTTAAATTTATATTGTAACGTCTACCTTAGTGTTAAATTCAAATTGTATGTACAACCTAAGTATTCAGTTCAAATTGTATCCACTACGTAAGTGTTCCATTCAAATTGTATTTACTACCAAAGTATTCAGTTCAAATTGTATCTACTACCTAACTGTTAAATTCGAAATGTATCTACTACCTAAGTGTTAAATTCAAATTGTATCTACTACCTAAGTGTTGAATTTAAATTGTATCTACTACCTAAGTGTGAAATTCAAATTGTAACGTCTACCTTAGTGTTAAATTCAAATTGTATGTACAACCTAAGTATTCAGTTAAAATTGTATCCACTACCTAAGTGTTCAATTCAAATTGTATTTACTACCTAAGTATTCAGTTCAAATTGTATCTACTACCTTAGTGTTAAATTCAAATTGTATCTACTACCTAAGTGTTAAATTCAAAATGTATCTCCTACCTAAGTGTTAAATTCAAATTGTATCTACTACCTAAGTGTTCAGTTCAAATTGTATCTACTACCTAAGTGTTAAATTCAAATGTATCTTCTCCCTAAGCGTTAAATTCAAATTGTATCTACTTACTAAGTGTTAAATTCAAATTGTATCTACTACCAAAGTGTTTAATTTAAATTGTATTTACTATGTAAGTGTTGAATTTAAATTGTATTTTTTACCTTAGTGTTACATTCAAATTGTAACTTCTACCTAAGTGTTAAATTTAAATTGTATCCACTACGTAAGTGTTGAATTTAAATTGTATCTATTACCTTAGTGTTACATTCGAATTGTATCTACTACCTAAGTGTGAAATTCAAATTGTAACTTCTACTTAAGTGTTTAATTGAAATTATTTCTAGAACCAAAGTGCTAAATTGAAATTGTATCTACCACCTAATTGTTAAATTCAAATTGTGTCTACTCCCTAATTGTTAAATTCAAATTGTATCTTCTACCTAAGTGTTCAGTTCAAATTGTATCTACTATCTAAGTGTTAAATTTATATTGTATCTACTATCTAAGTGTTAAATTCAAATTGTATCTTCTACCTAAGTGTTAAAATCAAATTGTATCTACTACCTAAGTGTAAACTTCAAAAAGTACCTACTACCTAAGTGTTAATATTCGAATTGTATCTGCGACCTTTGTCTTATATTGTTTAATGAGATGTGTAGCTAATTCCAACAAACATGCATGTCGGACACATGTCCAACAGCTTCTCATATTGACAACTATTTCCCCTGTTACAGTGGTATTCAATTCATTGCAGACAGTTCACTGTACAGCCATGAGGTCCGGCTAGGTATATCTTTCCGAAATGAAACTCCGTTGAACCAGCGCTATAGCAGATGACATTTGGTCGCTGTCTAGACCAGAACACGATCCAACAGGAGCTATGTGTAAGAAAAGAGACAATTCACCTATATATGGTCGTCTAATGACACTTGCTCAAAGTCGTTATCATGTTCTGACGATAGAGTAACGTCTGCACGATAGCCATAATGATCGAATTTCTCAGTTAATACAGTCGGAGACAGACACTATACCGAACATTATCTACAACCCACACCTCATCGCTCTGACGCGCACCTGTTCTAGATGTCTTACCTGGAGATGGTGAACTTAAGCAGACAGTAAGCAATATTCTTGCTCAAACCTACACGTAGTAATCAATCGCAAATTGATACAAGTTGATATTACTTTGAACAATATTATATTTATAAAAAAAAATGTAAAGTAAGCTAACAAAGATGTTTTTTCAAATAAATACTTCAGGTTATACGATGGAAAGATGCATATATCAAGTTTATGCTGAAGTAGCGAGACAGTCGCAATCAAAAGTATGCTTGCACAACACGCCAAGACTGAAATAGACGTTAAACTTAAACTGCATATCACAATATTAATTTCATCCAGGTCGGAGGGACTTGTGGTCACCATAACCCGCTATAAATAGGCTTGGGTGCCGCGAATAGTACAAGTTGCTGATGTTGCGTTAAGCGAAGTTGACACAATCCTGTATGTCGGGTACGTGGCACCTACAGTGCATTATCCTGTCAACACAAGGTATAAGCGGGCATCAAATCTTGAGCTACTTGAAAGAAATTGGTCTGTATGATAATTTTTAAATATATATGTTTATGTAATTTTGAATATGTATAATTAGTTGCTTGTTTTTAAATTTGGAGTGATGCTTATATTAACAAAGGTTATCAAAAGTTCTGCCGAATAGTTTAAAGTACCGTTAATTACCCCCCCCCCCCCCCCCCCCCCCTCCTCGATAATCGATGTAACTATCATCAACCAGTGTTTTAAGCCAACTCTTTACCGAGCATTTTTTTATCATTGGCTGGTGTTGTGCACCAGTGATGACAGTGATGACAGTGATGGCTAAAGTGATGACGTAAATCCTGCTGGAGTATCGTGCAAGTGAGGCACCATAAGTTCCAATGATTCCCATCGAGGTGACCCAGCTTTGGTTACTGGTGGCTTATAGCCCGTGTTTTAAACAGTTATAGATAATATTGTTATGCCTAAACATGTTCGATAAATTTGTTTTTAAATATAACTTCATGACTAAATTGTGTATATATCAACTTGTTCTCGTCGCTATATGGCTGAAATAATACCGATGCGACGTTAATATTAACCCACTCACTCACAAGGGACAACAATGGCTACTGATCTTCAAAAACTCGAGGTCATATGCAAGGTGAACAGGAAATGACAAAATTAATAATCCCCACACTCCAACGATATAGATATCACACGTATTACATATTAAACCTGGTTAAATGTTTGGAAGAACGTAACCATTTATGGAACAAACAATTATTCAGCGGGAGATTGGTCTTCGAAATAGACACCAGTGCTTCCAGGTTCGATGAGCAATCGTATCAACCATATAACCAACCTATCGTCTCTTAAACTTAAATTAGAGAGTGTAGTTGTATACAACATTTATACATAAATGCATGACTTACCGGGAGGAGAAGACACGCAATCAACAAAATCACAGATCTCAGAGCCAGACGACCCGATTCCAACTGAAGACGGTTCTGACAACCATGATGAACTGGGGATCTGTTTTGACCTTGACTCCCAACGACGGAGGCAGTAAGACCTAGGCTACATTTGAATTCCTAGGTCACCTTGATATTAAGCGCGAGGACATAGGCTATGGACAGGATCTTACTCATGAATTCACGTGTGACCTTGACATAAGGCGCGAAGACATAGGCTATATACAACATGTTACTCGTGAATTCACGATTCACCGTGAAATAAGCTGTGAAGACAAAAGATATATACATAAACGGGTGACCCACCTTGATATTACGCGGGGGGACATAGGCTATATGAAAGATAGATTTTGTCAGGAATTGACATTAGGCGTGAAAACACACAAGCCTTTTCTCCAGAATTCACGACTTATCCTGACATGCGGGACCGCCTCCGTGGTCTAGTGGTAGAGCGTCCGCCCGGAGAGCGGAAGGTCCGGGGTTCGATCCCCGGGCGCGTCATGCCAAAAGACGTTAAAAGATGGTACTTGTTGTTACCCTGTCTGGCGCTCGGCACTAAGGGGCTAGAGCAAGGACTGGTCGGCTCGGAGTCAGTATACTTTGTCTGAGTGGGGTATTCATGTTAAACTGCGGCATGGTATGCGGCGCGGCGACATGGGCAACATACAAGATTTTACTCATGAACTCAAGACTCTCCTTGGTATTAGACGCGACGACATAGGCTATATACAAGATTTGACTCATGAACTCACGACTCTCCTTGGTATTAGACACGACGACATCGACTATAAACACGATTTTACTCGTGAATTGACGACTTACCTTGATATTAGGCGCGAAGACATAGGTTATACACATGAATGGAATGGCGGGAAGGAAGAGGATGAGATATATGAGTTTGCGGAACCAGTTGAGCGACTGCAAGAATCCCATCTCAGAGCCGTACCAGATGCTAGTCATGTGTTGTTGACAGTTGGGGTGCGCCACGAACTGAAGACACAAAGAAGGTAAACAATGGAGTATACAGTTTCTAAACAATTCTGTCGTAAACAGTGGGGACTTATATACGCATGTACAGAGGACTGGCTGCCTGTTATGCTCTGTCTTTGTATGCTCCATATCACCAGTGACTACCTAGCTGTCGTTGTCTGGTCTATATAACACCCAACGTGCCTAGCTGTCGATGTCTGGTCTATATTACACCCAATGTGCCTAGCTGTCGGTGTCTGGTCTATATAACACCCAACGTGACTACCTGCCGGTGTCTGGTCTATATAACACCCAACGTGCCTAGCTGTCGGTGTCTGGTCTATATAACACCCAACGTGACTACCTGCCGGTGTCTGGTCTATATAACACCCAACGTGACTAGCTGTTTGTGTCTGGTCTATATAACCCCCAACGCGCCTAGCTGTCGGTGTCTGGTCTATATAACACCCAACGTGACTACCTGCCGGTGTCTGGTCTATATAACACCCAACGTGACTAGCTGTTTGTGTCTGGTCTATATAACACCCAGCGTGACTAGCTGTCGGTGTCTGGTCTATATAAAACCCCACGTAACTATCTTTCGGTGTCTGGTCTATATAACATCCCACCTGACAAGCTGTCGGTTTCTGGTCTATATAACATCCCACGTGACTAGCTGTCGGTGTCTGGTCTATATATCACCCAGCGTGACTAGCCGTCGGTGTCTGGTCTATATAGCACCCCACGTAACTAGCTTTCGGTGTTTGGTCTATATAACAGCCCACGTGACAAGCTGTCGGTGTCTGGTCTATATAACACCCAACGTGACTAGCTGTCGGTGTCTGGTCTATATAACACCCAGCGTTACTAGCTGTCGGTGTCTGGTCTATATAACACCCTACGTGACTACCTGCCGGTGTCTGGTCTATATAACAGCCCACGTGACAGGTTGTCGGTGTCTGGTCTATATAACACCCAGCGTTACTAGCTGTCGGTGTCTGGTCTATATAACACCCTGCGTGACTAGCTGTCGGTGTCTGGTCTATATAACAGCCCACGTGACTAGCTGTCGGTGTCTGGTCTATATAACACCCAACGTGACTAGCTGTCGGTGTCTGGTCTATATAACACCCAGCGTTACTAGCTGTCGGTGTCTGGTCTATATAACACCATTCGTGACTAGCTGTCGGTGTCTGGTCTATATAACACCCAACGTGACTAGCTGTCGGTGTCTGGTCTATATAACACCCAGCGTTACTAGCTGTTGGTGTCTTGTCTATATAACACCCTACGTGACTACCTGCCGGTGTCTGGTCTATATAACAGCCCACGTGACAGGTTGTCGGTGTCTGGTCTATATAACAGCCCACGTGACTAGCTGTCGGTATCTGGTCTATATAACACCCCACGTGACTAGCGGTCGGTGTCTTGTCTATATAACACCCTGAAGTGACTAGTTGTCGGTGTCCGGTCTATATAATAACCCGCGTGGCCAGTTTCTGTGTCTACTTTATGTGACAACATACCAGTGTCTGCAAAATACCCCATGTCTCCGCACAAAGCAGCAGATTCCTATGTCCGCCCCTTATACCATCATGTATCTGCCATTCATAACACCAAGTGTCTTTCTTCTATAAAACCCCACATGACAAGGTCACCATGTATGCACTAAATGACACTCTTTATAGTTCCTAGCGAATTTCCTGATAAAGTCGCAATAGGCCCCGAAATATCATCCAGTTATTGCCTACTGACAGGCAGGTCAAGCAAAGTTGATCAAGATTAAAATCAAATTTGAAAAAGTGGATGACGAACGTTCAGGGCAGAATAAGGTTGAGAATTATGATGAACGGTATTCATGTGTTGCTGTGTGGAGTGCCTCCATCAAGTTATTGTGTTCCTACTGCAACAATCAGACGGTGTTTGTCTGCTGCCAGGCCCCAAGTCAGGGCTCAAGCGGTTGATTACAGGTCGCTCTATGACAAATCACATACACAGCCAAATCCTTTCTTCTTGGGCTTCCATCGAATTTTCTTTTTTAGAAGAAATAGAAATGTTATTAGAGAAGTTGTGTTATCAGCGAGTATGTGTAGCAATGTGAGTGCGCTGAGGAGCACGGGGCGGAGTGGGAACTATATTTCACTCTTGTGATAACAGTAATCCCTGTGTATTGATTGTGCACCGGGAGCATCGCTACAGATAAATGGCCTCAAGTCGGAGCCGCGCCTGTCAGCTGGGGTATCGGAAGCTAGTCAGGCGTGAATACTGGACTACATCAGAGTAGGGAGGGACGAGAAGGGGTTAAAAACTGTATGAGGCTGTTTCGATATGTCCACTGTTTGAGAATTTGTGTACAGGTTTCGTGGGGAAGTTCTGTTTTCTATGCACAATATATGGAATTTCATATGTCTTCCTACGCCAACACCTGTTCGTCCATCTAATGCCCCCTGTGTGTCGCTCTGTGTGCCAACACCTGTTTTATCCATCTAATGTCCCCTGTGTGTTGCTCTCTACGCCAATACCCGTTTGTCCATCTGTATGTCCTCTGCGTGTCGCTCTCTGTGCCAACACCTGTTTTATCAATCTAATGTCCCCTGTGTGTTGCTCTCTACGCCAATACCCGTTTGTCCATCTGTATGTCCCCTGTGTGTCCCTCTCTATGCCAACACCTGTTTTGTCATCTAATGCCCCCTGTGTGTCGCCCTCTATGCCAACACCTGTTTGTCCATCTAATGCCCCCTGTGTGTCGCTCTCTATGCCAACACCTGTTCGTCCATCTAATGCCCCCTGTGTGTCGCCCTCTATGCCAACACCTGTTTGTCCATCTAATGCCCCCGGTGTGTCGCCCTCTATGCCAACACCTGTTCGTCCATCTAATGCCCCCTGTGTGTTGCTCTCTACGCCAATACCCGTTTGTCCATCTGTATGTCCCCTGTGTGTTGCTCTCTACGCCAATACCCGTTTGTCCATCTGTATGTCCTCTGCGTGTCGCTCTCTGTGCCAACACCTGTTTTATCCATCTAATGTCCCCTGTGTGTTGCTCTCTACGCCAATACCCGTTTGTCCATCTGTATGTCCCCTGTGTGTCGCTCTCTATGCCAACACCTGTTTGTCCATCTACTCCCCGCTGTGTGTCGCTCTCTATGCCAACACCTGTTTGTCCATCTAATGCCCCCTGTGTGTCGCTCTGTGTGCCAACACCTGTTTTATCCATCTAATTTCCCCTGTGTGTTGCTCTCTACGCCAATACCCGTTTGTCCATCTGTATGTCCTCTGCGTGTCGCTCTCTGTGCCAACACCTGTTTTATCCATCTAATGTCCCCTGTGTGTTGCTCTCTACGCCAATACCCGTTTGTCCATCTGTATGTCCCCTGTGTGTCCCTCTCTATGCCAACACCTGTTTTGTCATCTAATGCCCCCTGTGTGTCGCCCTCTATGCCAACACCTGTTTGTCCATCTAATGTCCCCTGTGTGTTGCCCTCTATGCCAACACCTGTTCGTCCATCTAATGCCCCCTGTGTGTCGCCCTCTATGCCAACACCTGTTTGTCCATCTAATGCCCCCTGTGTGTCGCCCTCTATGCCAACACCTGTTCGTCCATCTAATGCCCCCTGTGTGTTGCTCTCTACGCCAATACCAGTTTGTACATCTGTATGTCCCCTGTGTGTCGCTCTGTGTGCCAACACCTGTTTTATCCATCTAATGTCCCCTGTGTGTTGCTCTCTACGCCAATACCCGTTTGTCCATCTGTATGTCCTCTGCGTGTCGCTCTCTGTGCCAACACCTGTTTTATCCATCTAATGTCCCCTGTGTGTTGCTCTCTACGCCAATACCCGTTTGTCCATCTGTATGTCCCCTGTGTGTCGCTCTCTATGCCAACACCTGTTTGTCCATCTACTCCCCCCTGTGTGTCCCTCTCTATGCCAACACCTGTTTTGTCATCTAATGCCCCCTGTGTGTCGCCCTCTATGCCAACACCTGTTTGTCCATCTAATGTCCCCTGTGTGTTGCTCTCTATGCCAACACCTGTTTGTCCATCTAATGTCCCCTGTGTGTCGGTCTCTATGCCAACACCTGTTTGTCCATGTAATGCCCCCTGTGTGTCGCTCTCTATGCCAACACCTGTTTGTCCATCTAATGCCCCTGTATGTCGCTCTCTATGCCAACACGTGTTTGTCAATGTAATGTCCCCTGTGTGTTGCTCTCTATGCCAACACGTGTTTGTCCATCTGATGTCCCCTGTGTGTTGCTCTCTATGCCAACACCTGTTTGTCAATGTAATGCCCCCTGTATGTCGCTCTCTATGCCAACACCTGTTTGTCAATGTAATGTCCCCTGTGTGTTGCTCTCTATGCCAACACGTGTTTGTCCATCTAATGTCCCCTGTGTGTTGCTCTCTATGCCAAAACCTGTTTGTCAATGTAATGCCCCCTGTATGTCGCTCTCTATGCCAACACGTGTTTGTCAATGTAATGTCCCCTGTGTGTTGCTCTCTATGCCAACACCTGTTTGTCCATCTAATGTCCCCTGTGTGTCCCTCTCTATGCCAACACATGTTTGTCCATCTAATGTCCCCTGTGTGTCGCTCTCTATGCCAACACCTGTTTGTCCATCTAATGTCCCCTGTATGTCGCTCTCTATGCCAACACCTGTTTGTCCATCTAATGTCCCCTGTGTGTCGCTCTCTATGCCAACACCTGTTTGTCAATGTAATGCCCCTGTGTGTTGCTCTCTATGCCAACACCTGTTTGTCCATCTAATGCCCTCTGTATGTCGCTCTCTATGCCAACACCTGTTTGTCCATCTAATGTCCCCTGTGTGTCGCTCTCTATGCCAACACCTGTTCGCCCATCTAATGCCCCCTGTGTGTCGCCCTCTATGCCAACACCTGTTTGTCCATCTAATGCCCCCTGTGTGTCGCCCTCTATGCCAACACCTGTTCGTCCATCTAATGCCCCCTGTGTGTTGCTCTCTACGCCAATACCAGTTTGTACATCTGTATGTCCCCTGTGTGTCGCTCTGTGTGCCAACACCTGTTTTATCCATCTAATGTCCCCTGTGTGTTGCTCTCTACGCCAATACCCGTTTGTCCATCTGTATGTCCTCTGCGTGTCGCTCTCTGTGCCAACACCTGTTTTATCCATCTAATGTCCCCTGTGTGTTGCTCTCTACGCCAATACCCGTTTGTCCATCTGTATGTCCCCTGTGTGTCCCTCTCTATGCCAACACCTGTTTTGTCATCTAATGCCCCCTGTGTGTCGCCCTCTATGCCAACACCTGTTTGTCCATCTAATGTCCCCTGTGTGTTGCCCTCTATGCCAACACCTGTTCGTCCATCTAATGCCCCCTGTGTGTCGCCCTCTATGCCAACACCTGTTTGTCCATCTAATGCCCCCTGTGTGTCGCCCTCTATGCCAACACCTGTTCGTCCATCTAATGCCCCCTGTGTGTTGCTCTCTACGCCAATACCCGTTTGTCCATCTGTATGTCCCCTGTGTGTCGCTCTGTGTGCCAACACCTGTTTTATCCATCTAATGTCCCCTGTGTGTTGCTCTCTACGCCAATACCCGTTTGTCCATCTGTATGTCCTCTGCGTGTCGCTCTCTGTGCCAACACCTGTTTTATCCATCTAATGTCCCCTGTGTGTTGCTCTCTACGCCAATACCCGTTTGTCCATCTGTATGTCCCCTGTGTGTCGCTCTCTATGCCAACACCTGTTCGTCCATCTAATGCCCCCTGTGTGTCGCCCTCTATGCCAACACCTGTTTGTCCATCTAATGCCCCCTGTGTGTCGCCCTCTATGCCAACACCTGTTCGTCCATCTAATGCCCCCTGTGTGTTGCTCTCTACGCCAATACCCGTTTGTACATCTGTATGTCCTCTGCGTGTCGCTCTCTGTGCCAACACCTGTTTTATCCATCTAATGTCCCCTGTGTGTTGCTCTCTACGCCAATACCCGTTTGTCCATCTGTATGTCCCCTGTGTGTCGCTCTCTATGCCAACACCTGTTTGTCCATCTACTCCCCCCTGTGTGTCCCTCTCTATGCCAACACCTGTTTTGTCATCTAATGCCCCCTGTGTGTCGCCCTCTATGCCAACACCTGTTTGTCCATCTAATGTCCCCTGTGTGTTGCTCTCTATGCCAACACCTGTTTGTCCATCTAATGTCCCCTGTGTGTCGGTCTCTATGCCAACACCTGTTTGTCCATGTAATGCCCCCTGTGTGTCGCTCTCTATGCCAACACCTGTTTGTCCATCTAATGCCCCTGTATGTCGCTCTCTATGCCAACACCTGTTTGTCAATGTAATGTCCCCTGTGTGTTGCTCTCTATGCCAACACGTGTTTGTCCATCTGATGTCCCCTGTGTGTTGCTCTCTATGCCAACACCTGTTTGTCAATGTAATGCCCCCTGTATGTCGCTCTCTATGCCAACACCTGTTTGTCAATGTAATGTCCCCTGTGTGTTGCTCTCTATGCCAACACGTGTTTGTCCATCTAATGTCCCCTGTGTGTTGCTCTCTATGCCAAAACCTGTTTGTCAATGTAAAGCCCCCTGTATGTCGCTCTCTATGCCAACACGTGTTTGTCAATGTAATGTCCCCTGTGTGTTGCTCTCTATGCGAACACCTGTTTGTCCATCTAATGTCCCCTGTGTGTCCCTCTCTATGCCAACACATGTTTGTCCATCTAATGTCCCCTGTGTGTCGCTCTCTATGCCAACACCTGTTTGTCCATCTAATGTCCCCTGTATGTCGCTCTCTATGCCAACACCTGTTTGTCCATCTAATGTCCCCTGTGTGTCGCTCTCTATGCCAACACCTGTTTGTCAATGTAATGCCCCTGTGTGTTGCTCTCTATGCCAACACCTGTTTGTCCATCTAATGCCCTCTGTATGTCGCTCTCTATGCCAACACCTGTTTGTCCATCTAATGTCCCCTGTGTGTCGCTCTCTATGCCAACACCTGTTCGTCCATCTAATGCCCCCTGTGTGTCGCCCTCTATGCCAACACCTGTTTGTCCATCTAATGCCCCCTGTGTGTCGCCCTCTATGCCAACACCTGTTCGTCCATCTAATGCCCCCTGTGTGTTGCTCTCTACGCCAATACCCGTTTGTCCATCTGTATGTCCCCTGTGTGTCGCTCTGTGTGCCAACACCTGTTTTATCCATCTAATGTCCCCTGTGTGTTGCTCTCTACGCCAATACCCGTTTGTCCATCTGTATGTCCTCTGCGTGTCGCTCTCTGTGCCAACACCTGTTTTATCCATCTAATGTCCCCTGTGTGTTGCTCTCTACGCCAATACCCGTTTGTCCATCTGTATGTCCCCTGTGTGTCCCTCTCTATGCCAACACCTGTTTTGTCATCTAATGCCCCCTGTGTGTCGCCCTCTATGCCAACACCTGTTTGTCCATCTAATGTCCCCTGTGTGTTGCCCTCTATGCCAACACCTGTTCATCCATCTAATGCCCCCTGTGTGTCGCCCTCTATGCCAACACCTGTTTGTCCATCTAATGCCCCCTGTGTGTCGCCCTCTATGCCAACACCTGTTCGTCCATCTAATGCCCCCTGTGTGTTGCTCTCTACGCCAATACCCGTTTGTCCATCTGTATGTCCCCTGTGTGTCGCTCTGTGTGCCAACACCTGTTTTATCCATCTAATGTCCCCTGTGTGTTGCTCTCTACGCCAATACCCGTTTGTCCATCTGTATGTCCTCTGCGTGTCGCTCTCTGTGCCAACACCTGTTTTATCCATCTAATGTCCCCTGTGTGTTGCTCTCTACGCCAATACCCGTTTGTCCATCTGTATGTCCCCTGTGTGTCGCTCTCTATGCCAACACCTGTTTGTCCATCTACTCCCCGCTGTGTGTCGCTCTCTATGCCAACACCTGTTTGTCCATCTAATGTCCCCTGTGTGTTGCTCTCTATGCCAACACCTGTTCGTCCATCTAATGTCCCCTGTGTGTCGGTCTCTATGCCAACACCTGTTTGTCCATGTAATGCCCCCTGTGTGTCGCTCTCTATGCCAACACCTGTTTGTCCATCTAATGCCCCTGTATGTCGCTCTCTATGCCAACACCTGTTTGTCAATGTAATGTCCCCTGTGTGTTGCTCTCTATGCCAACACGTGTTTGTCCATCTAATGTCCCCTGTGTGTTGCTCTCTATGCCAAAACCTGTTTGTCAATGTAATGCCCCCTGTATGTCGCCCTCTATGCCAACACGTGTTTGTCAATGTAATGTCCCCTGTGTGTTGCTCTCTATGCCAACACCTGTTTGTCCATCTAATGTCCTCTGTATGTCGCTCTCTATGCCAACACCTGTTTGTCCATCTAATGTCCCCTCTGTGTCGCTCTCTATGCCAACACCTGTTTGTCCATCTAATGCCCTCTGTATGTCGCTCTCTATGCCAACACCTGTTTGTCCATCTAATGTCCCCTGTATATCGCTCTCTATGCCAACACGTGTTTGTCCATCTAATGTCCCCTGTATGTCGCTCTCTATGCCAACACCTGTTTGTCAATGTAATGTCCCCTGTGTGTCGCTCTCTATGCAAACACCTGTTTGTCCATCTAATGCCCCTGTATGTCGCTCTCTATGCCAACACCTGTTTGTCAATGTAATGCCCCCTGTGTGTCGCTCTGTATGCCAACACCTGTTTGTCAATGTAATGCCCCCTGTGTGTTGCTCTCTATGCCAACACCTGTTTGTCCATCTAATGTCCCCTGTGTGTCGCTCTCTATGCCAACACCTGTTTGTCCATCTAATGCCCCCTCTGTGTCGCTCTCTATGCCAACACCTGTTTGTCCATCTAATGCCCCCTGTGTGTTGCTCTCTATGCCAACACCTGTTTGTCCATCTAATGCCCCTGTATGTCGCTCTCTATGCCAACACCTGTTTGTCAATGTAATGCCCCCTCTGTGTCGCTCTCTATGCCAACACCTGTTTGTCAATGTAATGTCCCCTGTGTGTTGCTCTCTATGCCAACACCTGTTTGTCAATGTAATGTCCCCTGTGTGTCGCTCTCTATGCCAACACCTGTCTGTCAATGTAATGTCCCCTGTGTGTCGCTCTCTATGCCAACACCTGTCTGTCAATGTAATGTCCCCTGTGTGTCGCTCTCTATGCCAACACCTGTTTGTCAATGTAATGTCCCCTCTGTGTCGCTCTCTATGCCAACACGTGTTTGTCAATGTAATGCCCCCTGTATGTCGCTCTCTATGCCAACACCTGTTTGTCAATGTAATGCCCCCTGTGTGTCGCTCTCTATGCCAACACCTGTTTGTCCATCTAATGTCCCCTGTGTGTCGCTCTCTATGCCAACACCTGTCTTATCAATCTAATGCCCCATTTCTCTCTCGCTAGTCACTCCACCTACCTTCTTTTCCTCATACCGGATAGCCTGCTTGAGTCTGGCCAGGGGGTCCCGCTGGGTGGTCTCCCCACTCTCACTGAGCACAGCCTCCACCTCCTGGGTGCCCCGACACAAGTCCATCAGCTCACAGGCGAAGTTCATACACTGCTCCACCATGCCCAGGTACTCGTTCTGCAACACATCGGTCACAATGCAAGCACGTGTTGAGAGACGGGCCTCAGTCCACAACACCCTCACAGACCACTCACATCAAACCACATCCCACGACTTGCCTTATAAGGTCATATGGTCGAGACTGAGGACATTTAAACCACGATCCAAGAATCAGATTTCATGACAATTATAACGGTAAATCCAGGTATTTCAAGACAACAATGATTGACGCAATTTAATTTTTTTGCATAATTTGGGAGATACGGGGAAAGGGGCGAAAGCAGTTTCCTTGTTTTGTGGAGAAGTATGTAATAATGAGTGCAGATAAACCCAGGTGACTGCTCACAGAATGTTTCCCTAAGACCATATTAACATTTCTCTCCCGGCAACGGAACTGACATTTCGGATGTAGATTTGCTCAAGCTAATTTCCTAGGTTAGCGTGACTCGCTTAATGTTGCCAGCAGTTGATACAACAACACACAGTTATACCATTCCAACTACTAAACAGTCTACAGAGTGGATACACGTCCAAATATTAATTTTAAAAAAGAATAAAATGCACACTTCCTTAAAGTTTAATTGCGTGTCAACATCACAAGGGTCGAGCATGTTTTTTGGGTCGTGTAAGATTTGATGCCAACAAAGAGGCGAACACAGTTGTCCCACACTCCGGGGACCGAAACAACTTTCTTTACATAAATATGATTCAAATAAAATTCTAACAATTCATTTTGAGAATCTGTACAATATTTACGAAATTAGAATTGTTTTAAAATCGCGTCATGATCCATCCGTCTGCAGACAAACCCCAGAAACAAACGTCGTATCGTCGAATACGTCAGCGATCATTCTTTGATGCTGCCAGTTCGGCGTCTTCCCATGTAGCCGGAACCACAGACAATGGTCGTATCGCTTGTAACACTTTAATTGAAACCAGTACCAGCAACACGTGATGCTTGCAGTCCTCAGTTATGTTTCTCACATCACGTGATCTTTGGCAGCATGTACCCATTCCGTGACCCGAGACAATCCATGTCAATGCCGAACCCCGACATTGTCTGTCAATGTTGGCCCCTAACAGTCAATATTAACCCCAAACAATAACTGTCAAAGTATAGAGAGTAGAATTCCATTAATTACGGTAGAACCAGATTCTATTAGTTCCTAAATGTCGCGGTTCACATCTTGTTAAAACCAGAATTAATATGTCACTGTATGGCAGATTAATATTGTACTGTCGTAAGTAATAATGTACGGCTTATCCCGATTTATGTGTCTTCACGCGTCACAATAGGGCAGGCTTTATTTGTTATTCCGCTACCTAACTTCGCCATGCCGCAGCTCAGCGAACTGATCGTTACCTCATCAGCCGAGCCACATCAGAGACCTTCTGAGATGCACGGGATGGAGACGAACGCATAGATTGCAGTCACATTGGATGGAGACGAGCGCATTGTTCAAAGACATGGTATGGAGACGAACGCATAGTTCATAGATATGTGATGGAGACGAACGCATAGCAAAGACACTTGGGATGGAGGCGAAGCAAAGTTAAAACACATGGGATGGGGACGAACGCATATGTCACAGACACATGGGATGGAGACGAACGCATAGCTCACAGACATGTGGGATGGAGACGAACGCATAGCTCACAGACACATGGGATGGAGACGAACGCATAGCTCACAGACACATTTGATGGAGACGAACGCATAGGTCACAGACACATGGGATGGAGACGAACGCATAGCTCACAGACATGTGGGATGGAGACGAACGCATAGCTCACAGACACATGGGATGGAGACGAACGCATAGCTCACAGACACATTTGATGGAGACGAACGCATAGGTCACAGACACATTTGATGGAGACGAACGCATAGCTCAGACACATGGGGCGGAGACGAACGCATAGGTCACAGACACATTTGATGGAGATGAACGCATAGGTCACAGACACATGGGATGGAGACGAACGCATAGGTCACAGACACATGGGATGGAGACGAACGCATAGCTCACAGACACATGGGATGGAGACGAACGCATAGGTCACAGACAAATGGGAAGGAGACGAACGCATAGCTCACAGACACATTTGATGGAGACGAACGCATAGCTCACAGACACGTGGAATAGAGACGAGCGAGTAGGTCACAGACACTTGGGATGTTGACGAACGCATAGCACAGACACATGGAATGGAGACGAACGCGTAGTTCAGACACCTGGGATGGACACAAACGCATAGCTCACAGTCACGTGGGATAAAGACGAACGAATAGCTCACAGACACATGGAATTGAGACGAATGCATGAGGTACAGACACATATATATCGTGAAGAGACACACATAGGGACTAAAGAGATACAATAACACACACGTGGAACACAGACAGATGACATTTGCACACGTGACAATGTACTTGCCAAACATAATTATATCATATCGCACGTAGACGCGACATACCATCAAAGCATTTTACAGAAGTCATGTGAAGACGCAGATCGATACGCGCAATTTACTCGCTATACCGCTCAGTTCTATCGCTGTGAGGCTACAGGCCAGACGTGTGTGGGGGTGTGGGGGGTGTGGGGGGTGTGGGGGGTGGGGGGTCACATCTAGGAAGGGGTCACATCTAGGATGAAGTGTGTAGACATGTGTCCAGGTAGCATCAGCTCTTGAGTTAAGTAGAGGTATTTGCAGGTACATGCAATAAACAAACCGCCCTGCACCGCCATTTCCTGAACACTTCAAAAGTATTTATACCCCACCGGGAACATCCAGCCTAAAACCATTATTTCCAGTCATTTACCTTCATAAAACCAACAGTGCAACAGTAACTACCAGAGAATGATACAACCATGTTTCACAATAACGTCAAAAGTGACCTTGACCGTTGACAGACATGACGCCAACATTTGATATTGTAGCAACTCTGACGCTTCATGCCCGTACGGAGGTTACCGTGCATCAGAAGAATTCAATTATTCAGCCGTATTTTACAATTACTAAATAAACGCTGACCTTTCCCTCATACGTATTGTGACAAAAATCATTTCAGAGCAGTGCCTCATCCTAGAGAAGGCACACAGCTTAGTTTGTGGATCAGGACACGGGTCAATTATGTCGCCAGTCTATACATTCCCTCCGTCCACAAACACGCATTCCTAAATGCAACACGCGTCACTCCCTCCATTTACCGCTACTAAATACTCCCGTTCGAATATGTAGTCTAGAAACTAGGAGCACACTTCATAAGTCTCAAAATGTCCTGGGGCTGAAGGTACTATTAATTGGGCTACCATGCGCACGGGGAAGCTGGCGAGTGAACGCTATTTCATCTTTTCACAGTATGTCAGATTGGTGGGAGAGGATTAATTATTAATTAATTAGTATGCAAATTATAGGCATTTAACACTTTGGTGAAGCAGGGAGCACAGGTATGGTGCTGATAAACCTAGGAATATAACCAGGACTGATATGGGATTCGAACCCACGATAATAGTTTCTTGCATGAGCGAATTGCGGCGCCTCAATGACTGGGGCACCCTAAAACCCCAGCAAGCGAGTAATGGTAATGGATGTTCATGTTGTATAGTTGCGAAATCTGCTTCCACTGACAACACCAAGGCGATCAAAGGGGGCAATATAAACTTTGCTTTTAAATTGCCTGTTGAATATGCAACTTCTCCTTTGAATCGCCTTTCTTGTTTCCGAGTTCACGGCGTTGGGTTCGCGCATTTACTGGTATAAAAATACAGTTTAGCCGTTTCATATTGATTGTTGAAATTAATTACTTATATTGCATGAATTTAGCCGTTTTCTATACAGGTTGCGAGGTGAAGCTCCTAGGGAACGTACATACAACGTCGCACTTACAACGATGTAGTATTGACAAATATGTGTACGTACGTCGTAGCACGGACAAATATTGATAACTACATCGTATCATTGACAAATGTATGTACGTACATCCTAGTATTGATAAATGTAGGTACGTACATCCTAGTATTGACAAATGTATGTACGTACATCCTAGTATTGATAAATGTATGTACGTACATCCTAGTATTGATAAATATATGTATGTACATCCTAGTATTGATAAATGTATGTACGTACATCCTAGTATTGATAAATGTATGTACGTACACCCTAGTATTGATAAATATATGTATGTACATCCTAGTATTGACAAATGTATGTACGTACATCCTAGTATTGATAAATGTATGTATGTACATTCTAGTATTGACAAATGTATGTACGTACATCCTAGTATTGATAAATGTATGTATGTACATTCTAGTATTGACAAATGTATGTACGTACATCCTAGTATTGATAAATGTATGTACGTACATCATAGTATTGACAAATGTATGTACGTACATCATAGTATTGACAAATGTAGGTACGTACATCCTAGTATTGATAAATGTATGTACGTACATCCTAGTATTGACAAATGTATGTACGTACATCCTAGTATTGACAAATGTATGTATGTACATCCTAGTATTGACAAATGTATGTACGTACATCCTAGTATTGACAAATGTAGGTACGTACATCCTAGTATTGATAAATGTATGTACGTACATCCTAGTATTGACAAATGTATGTACGTACATCCTAGTATTGACAAATGTATGTATGTACATCCTAGTATTGACAAATGTATGTACGTACATCCTAGTATTGACAAATGTATGTACGTACATCCTAGTATTGATAAATGTATGTATGTACATCCTAGTATTGACAAATGTATGTACGTACATCCTAGTATTGATAAATGTATGTATGTACATCCTAGTATTGACAAATGTATGTACGTACATCCTAGTATTGACAAATGTAGGTACGTACATCCTAGTATTGATAAATGTATGTACGTACATCCTAGTATTGACAAATGTATGTACGTACATCCTAGTATTGACAAATGTATGTATGTACATCCTAGTATTGACAAATGTATGTACGTACATCCTAGTATTGAC